TAATTTACAGCATAATTGGCATCTTCCAAAGCAGCAGATGTTGCAGCTTCTGAGGGAAGGTGCCTGGGAGTGGATAGTGTTTTCTCCAAACAGGGTCCAGGCTACTGTGAATGTTTCCCAAGCTTGGAGTCAGGCAAAATAAGCAACTAGAGCTGAGGGTGCTGTGCTGACCAGGGCAGGAAGAGGGTATGGCAGCTCTGTGTTTGCAGTGACAGCTGGAACTATTTCATTTCTCATTCAGTGATGACTGAATGCACAGAACCTCTACCAGGGCCTGTTGATCCAGAGGCATCATTTGAGGGATCCCTCTGTAGTTGCTCAGTGGCAGCCATCAAGACGAGTCCTTAGAAGTCAGCAACATTTCAAAACTGTGATTGGAGGCTCTGATAAATGTGTCTAGCTAAAAATTAGGTAATCTTTTTCTCCCTCCCTTCCCCCCTTAATTGAGGATCTCTCCATTGTCCCCAGAACTCATGCTTGGTCTTGCATTTGCTATTAAGCTTTTATTTTTCTAGCCCACACTTGAATCACACATTTGCAAGGAGAGGAAACAAGCACATTGAAAAGCAGAAAATGAGAGTAGTTTTCATTTTCTTGTTTCCAATGAATCGGATGCCTTATGCAAAGCCCATTGAGTTCCCTGTGAGTTTTCCCCCTGACTTCAATGGGCTTTGGCTCTGGCTTTTAGCTCCCCTGAAAGGTCCTGAACTGTCTGTGCTGGGGTGACAAGGAGCCTTGGAGAGACAATTCCCAGAGCTCTTCTCAGCCCCTGGCACAGCCAGGTTGCTAAGGAGACTTGGCCTGGCCCAGGCCTGGAGCTCCCCCCTTCCGGGGTTATTGTCTGCTGTGCCTGCCAAGGCTCTCTGGTGGCAGCAGTGCCACTCTCTCAGCCACAATCCCTCCCCAGTGGCCTCTGGCAGCAGCAATTCCTGCCCTGCATCTCCCCTGTGCTGCGTGCTTGGCGAGCAGCCTCCCTTGCCATGGCTGCTCCATCCTGCTCCAGGGTGCAGGGATGGATGGGCTCGTGTCTGCTGGCCTCCCCTGGCTCTGAGAGTGTGGGTTTGGGCCCTGTCACCCACCTCCACACCCCAGCATCTTCACCTCCTGTGGCTGCATCTCTCCTCCTGCCTCCTCCTGCCTCCTCCTGCCTCCTCCTGCCTCCTCCTGCCTCCTCCTGCCTCCTCCTGCCTTCTCCTCTCTTCTCCTCTCTTCTCCTCTCTTCTCCTCTCTTCTCCTCTCTTCTCCTCTCTTCTCCTCTCTTCTCTCTCTTTTACCCTGCCCAGCAAAAAAATAAATGCAAATAAAGCCAAGATGGGGAAGAGATGAGTCCCCGTTTTAGACATCCTCTGTTCAGGGCTTAAATTCCTTAAAGATCCAGTTCTCAGGATTCCTTATGAAGTGTATAGGCTCCAACAATCATTTCCAGTAGCAGGACAGGCTCCCACCATCTCTAGAAGTCCTGCAGTGCTTGGAACTTCCCGGGGAGCTCCTTCCATTGTGCTGGCTTTTGTTTTTGGAACTTGGAATTTTCCAGCTTTCCTGGATTCTTTGTAGTTTTATCTCTTTGAGGGAGGTATTTTGAAGTTTTAGCATTAACAGGCTAAATGACAGCTTCCTCTAAGCCTTTTGGGTGAGGTCTTTTTGTCAGTCACCCCTTCAGATAGCAACTCTGTTTGCCTACAGATAAGTGAGCAGAAATGCTCAAGCCCTGGGCACTTTTATGGTGGTGTAAAATTTAGGTGCTTGTGGCCTTGAATCTGATATATCTCATGTGAGCCATCATTTTGACTCTGTGTTTTGTAGATAACTAATTCCTCAGATGGGGATGATGGTTTTGCATCTAAACTGCAAGCTGGTGTCTGTCTCTTATGGTAGGAACCAGCATGAAACACGTTGGGGGTGATTTTCTGTATTACAGCATATGTTTTTGACTTGATTTTATAACAAATTGTGTCATCAGTAAGATTGTAACACTGAAATGTCAGTGTTCAGGCAGCATATATTTATTTCTCAAGGTGTTTCTTCAATATTAATGAACAAGAGGAATAGTGAAATCAGGTTCCAGAGCTATGAGATTTGTTGCCAGCTTGTTTTGTATGAAAATATTGTTTAAATAACTAGAGATGTATATGGTCACAATGTTTCAGTGATGATCCTGATTATAATTATTCAGTAATGATAATATCGCTTTCATCAACCTTAAAGATTTTTTAAAGGCAACTTTGGCTCCTTTGCTGGTGCTCAGTAAAAAGGAACACACTGTTTCCATCTAATATTAGTGCAGCTAGCTGTTTGAGTGATGATATCTGCCTACAAATGTGCAGCTTGTATTTTAAATGCTGAATAGTGATGTGAGATTTATGAATATGTCTTTGACAGTACTTGTGCTGAGCAGAGTCCTGAGATGTGTGTGGGTTTGCAGGGAGGTAGGATAACTTCAGGATGTTTTTGTATAACATCCTGAAATGAGTATTTCCAGCAGAAGGTGCTGTACAAAATTAAGCTTGGTCATTGGTAATTAGTGGAAGTTTCTTTGTAGCTGTTTTCCCCAATCCTGAGTGTATTTTGTGGGCTCTTTGGACCCAGGTTTGCATGAAGCCCTGCTGGATTTTCATGGTGATGGATTTGTTCTCCTGTGCTGTTTGCCTGTTGGGCACAGGACTGCTCCCCTCTGATGAAGTGGAGGAATTGGTGAACACTGATCCATGTGAGGGAGGGCAACAAAAGTTCATTTTAACACATTTACCCTTAGAGAAGAAATCTCACAAATGGCCATACATATATACCCTTCTGTATGCACACACTGTAATTTTTTTAAATGCAATTGGGGGCCATGAGTGTGAGAACTCTGCTTTTACTCCTTTGCTTTGCCTCTTCTTTTTTGGTAGAGGAAATGCTTGACAGTCATCAATAAAAGATTAAATCATTGATGGCTATCAGGATAAACTAAACACATCTCGTGTGTGGATGCTGGCATAGTAGGAACTTTTCCAAGACGTTTCAGGCCTCGTTCTCTGGTTTGTTAAAGGGCAGAGAATAAGGTCACAAAGGAAATCAAACCCTGATGTGGAGAAATGAAACATGAGGCCTACTGACTTCTAAAAAACATTTTAAATAACATTCTCTAAGGTTTCATTTTATACCGAAGGCAGCTGTAATAAGTTTTGGAAGATGGTGTAAGGTTTCTATTAAAGAGAGATTTTTGCTTGCTTGGTTTTGTACCCAAATGAAGGAATGAGGGAGATGGAATTAGATCTTATTTAGTATAAGGTGAGAAACTAAAAGTTCTCTCCAGAACCGTAAAATAATAATTTATATGTTCTACTGCAATTTACAAATTAAAAAATATGAAACTGTTCCTAGATCTTCGAAAATGACACACATAGCCATGGAATAATTTAGTAACTGCATTGCAAATGCACTTTTGCCACAAGTAAAATAAGACTGCTGCTTTGTAGCGTGCTGCCAGCATAGCCTCAGTGAATAAATTCCCAGTAGATGTTTGCTGCATGCCAAATATATTGGAGTGTATAAAAGATCCCATTGTTCAATGGCATCATTATTTGCTATTATACTCACAATGTTTGCTTGTGAAACAATTTATTGGAGACAAGTATGTTTAAGAAGGAACGCTTGGTTTGAAATTCAGCTGATTTGGCTTGTAATGTCAGAGCTTTTACAGTATATAGCCTCTAAAAATAAATATTTAGGTCTGCTGTTTTTTACTTATCTTCAAAAGAATTCCTGGAGCAGGGGAGAACGGGGAGCCGAGGCTGGGGATGGCCAGTGAGCATTTCACTTCTGATTCACAGAATTGTTTAGGTTGGAAAAGCCCTCTGAAATCATTGAGTCCAACCATTAACCTAGCAGTGCCAAGGCCACCACTAAACCACGTCCCCAGGTGTCACATCTACACACATACATGACTTTTAGATGCCCTCCTTGGGCAGTTCCAAAGCTGGGCAGCCCTTTTGGTGAGGGAATTCTCCCTGATATCCAATCCAAACCTCCCCTGGCACTACCTGAGGCCATTTCCCCTCGTCCTGTCACTTGTCACCTGTCACCTGTGAGAAGAGCCTGACTCCCACCTGGCTAAAACCCCCTGTCAGGGACTTGTAGAGAATGAGAAGGTCCCTCCTGAGCCTCCTTTTCTCCAAGCCAAACAACACCAATTCCCTCAGCTGCCCCCCAAGAGAGGTTGACTGAAAATGTGTATGAGAAATGCTCATGAGAAATGCTTATGCATGGGCATAGATTAGAAGCTGAATTGGCTCACATTAAATACACTTCAGTTTTCCAGAGAACTCTGTATTTGCCTGTGTTTTGGTGAGAACAAGAATGAAGCAGTGTTTCTGCTGCTGTGTCTGGGTGAAGCAGAGAGCAGTGGTGGTGGTGGCACTGATTTAGAGCATTTTAGGAAGCTGAGCTGCTTCATTTGTGCATCCTGCACGCTGAGGCTTCTGCTGCTACTTTTGAGAAATTCCTTTTGGTTTATTTTAACATGTTTTAAACCAAGAATTATCCAAGATTAATCAATAATATTTCTTCTTAATCAATAATCAATTAATTTATCAAAATTAATCAACAATATTTCTTCTTAATGTGTGGAGGTCTAGCCGAGTCAAGACATTTTAGAACTCAGAGGTAACTTAATTACAGTAGCTTAAAAAAACCCAAAAGGAGATATTTTACCTAATTAGGGCTGAGTTAAACCATGGAAAACGAGCAAAGTGTTTAAGCAGGGTCATTCCCCCCCCCCCCCCCCCCCCACACACACACATACAAATGGCTATTCTTTAAATTACAAGTGTAGCGCTCAAGCCATCTCCTTTGAACTGCAGGTTTTGTTACACGCTTTGGCTGCGGTGTTATTTCGGAGGAGTCAGCCAACAGGCTTACAGGGCTTTTTGGCTGGGGTTCACTTACAGTTTTCTTGGCAGCCTTGCTTATTTATGCATCTTTATTTCTCTCTGTTTCTCCTCCGTTCGCTGCTGGAGCAGAGCGCTCCCCGCACCGGCCCATCCTGCAGGCGGGGCTCCCCGCCAACGCCTCCGCCGTGGTCGGCGGGGATGTGGAGTTTGTCTGCAAGGTCTACAGCGATGCCCAGCCCCACATCCAGTGGATAAAGCACGTGGAGAAGAACGGCAGTAAATACGGGCCAGATGGGCTCCCTTATCTCCAGGTTTTAAAGGTGAGGCTTCGCAGATGCCGGCAGCGGTGGTGCCTTCTTTAGAGCGTGGTGTAAATCCAAGGCTTCCGAGTTCTGAGCTTCTTTTGAAAGTGGAGATGTTTATGTTAGAAGTGAAATGATGAGTTAGATAAACGTTTGCTTGTCTGAATGCTAACTGTGCAGCTTATAGACACTGTTTTGCTCCTTTTTACTTCCATGAAAAGTCCTTCGTATCTGTAAGTTTCTGGCCTGACTTGTTCAGAAGAAAATGAAAATCCTTCTAAAAAACATCATCAACATGTTTGTATGGGTAGAAAGCATCCAAAACATACCTGGGACAATCTACTCCATTTCTTTCATGTTTCTTCAGCCTCTTGATTTCAAAGAAACATGGCAGCTGCAGCCAAAAGCTTGCTGGAGGACTGGGCTGTGTGGATGCTGAGCCTGCAGAGATGTCTGGTTTGGAGCAGTGTATTGGTACTGTCATTCCTGCCAGTTTGGAGCAAGCCTGACCAGGGAAAATGAAGCTTTCCTAGCTGGGTGGCATTGCCAAAACTCTGACAGGCTCTGTACCTGCTTGTCCCATGCGGTGCCTGCCCAGGTGGATTCCTTTTTTCCCCATGCTGCTGTTCTCTAACTCCTCGTGTGATGCTGTGGATGTACAAAAACCAAACAACAACAACCAAAAGGAAAAAAAAAAATCCCACAACAATAACAAAACCCCCAAACCCTTCAATGTTTAGAGGCTGATGTGGAATATTCTGGTGACGTGTTGGTGGTGGGACCATAGACAGATTGGTGTCCATTCTGGGCAGCAGTGACCTTGTTCTCCTGTGTTATTGGTCTGTTCTAGCACTCGGGGATAAATAGTTCCAATGCTGAAGTGCTGACACTGTACAATGTGACAGAGGCGGACGCTGGAGAATATATTTGTAAGGTCTCCAATTATATAGGGGAGGCCAACCAGTCTGCCTGGCTCTCTGTTCTGCCAAGTGTACAAGGTAACAACGTTTTTTAAAGCAAGCTGGAAAAAATGGTGCTTTGGGAGACTGCAGGCAGCTTGTAGGATACTCTCTGGCCTTGGTGGTATATGTGTAATCCTCCTTTGGTGATGCAGCTGGTGTTGCACCAGCAGCCATGGAAAAATTCCCACAATATTCTCTGTACCAGAAGCACTGCTTTGGTTTCTGTTTGTTGATCTTTATTCTCTCTTTGGTGTCTTTGTGTCTGTGTGTGTGTTGGACAGTTCTGTTGCTAATTCTGCATACTCGGCAGTTCACACAGAGGGTACTCCTTGAATAATGTAATTACAGCCTAGCAGTGTGTATTTATATATACACATAGGTGTGTATATGTGTGACCTGTTCACATAAAAACCCCCTGGAGCACAAGTCAGGTCAGTTTAGTCACTGTGACTGTGCAGGTGGGAGGGTTGTTCCAGGTCTTACTCACCCATTACTAACTGGGTGAGTAACAATAAAGACAGCTAACTGTGTGACTGCAGCCCACAACTAATTTTACCTCCAAATTGTCCAATAAAAAGGTATTTATTCCCTGATTGTGTATTTCAAAGTAACATTTTTGAACGGAACAGAGATCAAAAGTAGCAAACATTAATTTCTCTAATCCTCCATCACTGAGATCTTGATGCTGATACCCTGACGTGCCCATCTTGGGGCAGCTGGGAAGTTCCAGACCTGATTTGCTCCATTTGAGTTTGGATAATCACTGATACTTGGATTAGTGCACAGTGTCAAGCAACAAGTCTGGAAGATGACCAGTAAAAACCACAAAACATGCAGAGTTTTTGCTCCCCTCAATCTTTAAGATGTAGAAAAAGATGTTTTATTTTCATCTCCCAGTTCTCAAACCTTTGAAGTATTTTCTGTCCTACCCAGAGCCACAACTGAACAAGATCTCTGATTTTTGAGCAAGGATTGGGATACTTTCCACTGTCCTTCTAGGCAAACCATCAAATCTTTCCAGATTTGAGATTTAAATGAGATTTGGCAACTCTTCACAGTATGTACAGTAGTAGTAACTACTCAAAACTGCAGTGCAGTGGGTGATGCAAGGATCTTACAATCTAAGACAGCTACTAAGTTGTCTTTTGGAGCAGAATTCCCCCCTTTTTTATCATTTTTTGAGTATGCTTTTATGGTAAATTCTTTCCTCTGAAACAGGTCTCTACACGTGAAGGATCCCGCATTCTGTCCTACTTTTTTTTCTCTTTGTTTTTCTTTCAACTTTCTCTTGTCATAAAAGAAGAAGTAAAAAAAAAAAAAGATTTGTGGGTGAATTTTTCCATGTCTTTTGATTGCATGCATGTTTAGGTGGTGAGTTTAGGTCTGGTGAAGGGTGTTGATTACTTTCTGAGGTGAGCTGGGACCTGTTGGTAAACGCCTTTTGGATGAGGGATTGTGGATGGGGAAGGAGCTTTGCATCTCTCCACCTCTGCCTTTACCAAGTGCAAAGCCCCGTGGCTCCACCTCCCTATCCACAAAAATTCTCTCAGTGTCTAGATTTTCTCTTGCTTCCCTCTTGTTTTTTTTTAGGCTGCCGGTGTTAACACCACGGACAAAGAGATTGAGGTTCTCTATATACGGAATGTAACTTTTGAGGATGCTGGGGAGTATACATGCTTGGCGGGTAATTCTATTGGGATATCCTTTCACACTGCATGGTTGACAGTTCTGCCAGGTATACACTGCTCTCTTTCTGTGGTTTTTCCTCTTTTTTTTCCCCCCCTCCCCTTGTTGATTGCTGCAGAATTAGCACGGCTTCTGTCTCAAAAAAAAAGGACTTTTACAATGATTTTGGTTTTTTTAAGCGCAGTTGTCTCAAGCCGATGAGTTGTTCTGTCACGTGTTTGCAACTCCAAAAATCAAACGGCAACAACAACAAAAAATGGTGTGGGGTGCGTGGCTATTGCACTTAATTGAAATGTTTTTACATCATCAGAAATGCTAAGGAGCTGCATTTCCTTAGCACTTCAACGAGACAACTGATAATCAGCCTATAAATCATTGTAAACTTTGTCAAGAAGATGAAATTCAGTTCGTTACAAAGTTTGGAACTAATTTGGCCATGGTTGTGTACTGGCTCATTAAAATGCCTGAGCTGTTCAGTGTACTTCAATTCACTTTTACCTATCATGCAAATCTTTCATGGAAATTCCAATTTCAATGCCAGAGGATCATGTACAGAAGCAGTGCCTTCCATATCTTGGGAATCGGCTCCATGCATCTTTAAACATTGCATGCTCTAAGGAAACAAGTAGTCATTTGCTTTTACTGCAAAGCATGTCTTGCTGTTCTGGGGTTGATGATGTTTCTGTCCTTAGAAGAAACAAACATCAATGTGCTTTATTGCCTGAAAATTATTATCAGCTGTTAGAAGATGTAACCGTAGTTGGTTTTGACATTAGTCAAATTTTCTCATTTACAACTGTTGGCAACTGCCTCAGGAGTTCCTTTGGAAAAAAACTTGAACCACCTGAGGTTTGCTGGGTCATCTTGTGCTTAACATTTATTAATTGTTAATCCTAAGGAAGAGGTACAAAACCTGCATGTGTGTGTTGCTGAGCCTCACAGTGTGGGAGTTAAACATTCCCACTGTCTGCAGATAATTTCTTACCTTTTATTGAAATATATTGAACAAGGCAGCTTTATTCCATCTCACTCTGAACCGAACCCCGAGGCCTGTGAGGTGTCACCAAGCAGGCAAAGCAGTGCTTGTGTAGAGCTTGCTTCTGCTGGCTGTGTTTGCATTTTGCAAGTGCTTGAACAGCATTTTTTTTTAACCAATTTTCTTGAACAAAGTATTTTTCTAAGCCTGGAAAGGCACAAGAAAATTTCAGCATGAAACGTGCATTGCTTGCGGAGTGACCACTGATGGCTGTGGAATGCTGTTTATCCGGGGGTTGAATCCCAGATAAGGGATTAGGGACACTGTTTGCACATATAACTGTCTTGAAGATAGCTTCAAAATGGTTTCAATCAGAGTAACAGCTCTGGAGAACCACTCCCTCCCAAATCTAATCTCATAGGCCGGTAACCACTGATGAGGGTGCTTGAAAGACCGCAGTCCTCGCAGAAGAGGGCTCGTTAATTAACGTGTCGCTGCCAATTCGTTTTTCACTTCAATTATGCTTTTTAATCCAGCACTGGGCTCCTCAAAGGACCTCAGGGGAGTTGGGCACCCAGCATGAAGCACAGCTGGTTGAGCAGCTGGACAGCCAGCTCCTTGAAACCCTTTTGAAACCCCTAAGCTGCATTTATAGACATGATGGGGCACTGATTCATCCTCCCTTCCCTCTGTATTTTGAGATCGTACTACAAATTTTGAATAAACAGGCAGACTCAAGCAGGCTCAAGCCCAAACATTTATTTTAAAATTTAGACACTTTTCATTCAGGCTAGCTAATTCACAGTTTTATCTTTGGATGTGCTTTTGTGTGGTTCACACGAATTGCTGTACTTACACATTTTGAACCTGAGCCTAGTTTGAACAGTTTTTGCTTCTCTCTAAAATTATCCTTAATCATTATTCATATGATTAAGGATATTATTCATATGATAAGGATATGATTAAGGCAGTATTTCAATGTATACATATGTACCTACATAGGGAGACACGTGTGTATGTTTGTGTACGCATACATAGATGCACAAGCTCAGTGCAAACTGGAAAATCAAAGCAGTAATTTGGAAAAAATTACTCTCAGATAAAAATCAAAGCAGTAATCTGGAAAAAAGAATTGCTCTCAGATTACAAGATGGCCTAAATATCCAATGCTCTGAATACCACACAAGAATTGGTTATATTTTATATTTTACCATTACTTGCTCCAAGCGCTGTGCCGAACACTGCCTTGTTCTCTAACCCTGTGGCCTGATTGTTCCCTCCCAAAACCTTCCCGTCCAGCTCCTGAGAAAGAAAAGGAATACCCAACCTCTCCAGACTACCTGGAAATAGCAATTTACTGCATAGGGGTGTTCCTGATAGCCTGCATGGTGCTGACAGTGATCATGTGCCGCATGAAGAACACCACCAAGAAGCCAGACTTCAGCAGCCAGCCCGCCGTCCACAAGCTCACAAAGAGAATCCCCCTGCGCAGACAGGTAACAGAAAGTAGATAAAGAGTTACAAAAAACTTATTTTTTACCCCAACAACTAAGCCAGCACATCTGTCCTGCTGGAGAAAGGGAAGCAGGGAGTTAATAAATTATAGCGGATTGCGGGTGGGATAGAGACGAGGTCTTAGCATAACAATAGGTCAACAATAGTCTCAAGGAAATCAGGGTAGGAGAAATGTAAAAACTGAAATATGTTCTGTATAAGCAGTCTGGAGATGAGGAAAAAAAAATGTATTTCAAGTATTTTGGGGCCTGATCCCACAGCTTGTCAATGGAAAAAATGTTACTGCCTTAATGGGCTTTGGAACAGAATCCTATTTAATTGTATATTTATGATGTTTCTAAGGTGATTATTATTGTGGTAACTAGGTACCACATACAGAGAGGTATTTCTCAGGAAGACTTTTGAAGACTGGAGGGAGGGACTTTTATAGCTAGGCATCCAGAAAACACCCCAAAATAGAAAAACACTGTAATAAAGTAAAAATAGGGGAGATACTATATCAGATCTTGGACAGCTTGATTAAGATAATGATGCTTTTGAGCAAGAAACAAAAGCAAGTGCCAGATTTAAAATGCACACAACAGCATCACATGAAATGCATTTTACAATTGTTTGTGGCTGGCAGTGAGCAATTCTGGAGAGGTTGATGCCACGAGCAACAAACCAGTTAAACAAGTAACAGGACTTTGGCTTTATCACAGGCCACCACTTGCCAAAACAGCCTCCATTCCCACACACTGTCCTCTCCTGAAGGATTGGTGGTGTTTTTAGAAGTTGGAGTTTAATAGGTTTTGATTTTCTTGCAATAGGTCTTGAGGCCAGAGCTCTGCATCCCCAGGTTTCAGCCCTGCAGGATGGGGGATGTTGGAATCTGAGGCTGGGGTTCACCTCAGCAGCCAAAAAATTCTGTCTGGAGGGGTTGGATCCTGGCTCTGCCCAGGGAATTGCGGTGTGAGGGTTCACTTTGTGTCCATCTGCACCATGAGGAAGTGGTGCAGGATTTCTGCAGGTTTGTTTTTGCAGCCTGTCCAGAATATTGTCACTGACAGCGTAATACATGTACCTTAAAAAGGGTTCTTCAGCGTGGGTAAGTGTTTGAAATGGGCACACAGAGTGGGAGATTCTGAACAGCAATACATTTTTCTGGACCCTTGTCTCATGATATCTGAATTTCCTTGGTTAAAAGTACCAGGTAGTGGAAGGCTTTAGCTACCATCCTCTGAATTCAGTATTTTACAGAATCCTGAGGTGGGGCACCTGAATGTTTTCCAGTCTGAAAGATATTTGGTTTGTCTTATGAGCGAAATATATTAATTCTTATTTTTTTCTGACTTTGTTTGCCACTTTGGGTTGGGTTTTTTCCTTTTTTTTTTTTTAATTTTATGATTTTACTCATTTGCTTAAGTATCACTGGGACAAAGAGGGACTTTTCACTCTGAATGTGTCAGAAAGAGTGATGAGAAGCCCTCAGCTCAATATTCACACATCTCTTTGGCTAGAAAGATCTGTGTAGATTTCTGGACAAAGGAGCCCTTTCAGATACTGTGTGCTTAGCCAGAGAGAGAGATACACATCAACTGCTTAGATAGGAGACATTTATTAGATTTCTGCCTGAATATAAAAGCCTAATGACTCAGAGACAAGTTGATGGTATAAAAAATACCTAGGGTTTGGTGTGAGCTCAGTTGTGTCAGCTGGAAATGGTTCCTCGGGGAGCAGAGTGTTATTTCATTTCATGTGACAGCAGTGCCAACCACTGCCCTCAGTTTAGCTATTTATCCTTAAATGATGCAATGTGGACCTTCTCCAAAGCTATTGTTTTCACAGGGGAAAGAAACTGTCTTACAGCATGTTTGTCACGTTGGGGTTTATCAGTTTATTTCAGTGTTTTTACATTTTTTTAGCCAAAATGGCATTTTGCTTTTAAAACTGGGAATACTTTAAAAAAAAAAATTTATATTTGAAAGTGCAAATGCTGTTTCAAACCCTAAGCAAAAATCCCACTGCTCCCAATTGTGTCTTGTTAGCAGCAGTTGCTCATTGAAGGTCTCTGTGCTTTTGTGTCTGCATGGAGGAAAATGTAACTACTGTAAGCATTGTGTGCAATCTGTATTTCTGGTTTGATGATTTCACTGGTCAGTTTGCAAAGGCAGGATGAGACAAGCAGTCCCTGAAGATTTGCTTGTGAATATTCCTTCATTTCTCCTTGGTGCTGAGGCTGCAGCAGCTCTTCACTTTCTGCATCTTTTAAATCTGGTTTTGGGTTTCGGGGCTGTTGTCACAAGCGAAGAATTGAAAAATAATCCAGATGTTTTATTTAAAGGGTGTGTGTTTCTGGATCATTCAACCCCGTTTTATTGTGCCACCAAGCTCACTTTGTTCCAGTTTATTTGTATTTCAGAGGACTGTATTTAAACTTGGTGAGGTTTTGTCACCAAACCTTTATTTATCTGTGGATCAGGGAAGGTTTCCCTTTGTGCTGTGTGGGAGGGATGAGGTGGGAGGATGAGAAGGAGTGAGATGCTCATGGCAGGGAGGCTTGAGAATGAGGCTGGATCCAGGGCTGGGTGATGGGATTTGTTGGAATTCCAGAGAAATGAGGCCACAGATTGGGAGATTCTTGATATTGTTTTCAAAGCTCTTCTGCTGCTGGGTCAGGGTCCCTGAGGATCTGGGCTGGAAAATAATCCTGGTTCACAGAGAGACGTTTGCGCGGCTCTGATGCCATCTTGTCTGAGCAGGAGAAGAGTCTTGCTGAGTAACATATGGTTTGGTTTGGCTCCTCCTGCTCTGTTTAGCCTGAGCTACCACAGGATTTTATCATTCCCCACATGCAGGCGTTTTTTCCCTGCCAGAATTCAGTTCTATTCGCATTCGTAGGAAGGGTCAGGATGAAGGCAGGAATTATCAGCTCCCATCCCCTGCAATCCTCATCCTCACCAGGATCTGGTACTGAATTTCCAGGTTTTTCCAGGTAAATCCAGCAGGCAGCTCCTCTTTTCCTCAAAGCAGTTCAAGTGTTAACCCATGGTCTGTGTGGAGGTACCAGCTTGAGAAGAAGGGGATGAAGGATTTTTGGGATTGAGCCTCACAAGCTGATTTGCAGGACAGGCTTTAAGTGACAGGGCCACTGAACCAAAAGAATACAGATTAGCCTTCAATAGGATGTACATCTATTCTGTAGAACCTTTGTTTTAACAGATAAATTGTAATTGAAGCAGACAAAAAGACAATCCCATCTCTTGTGACTTGCTCAAAGTCAAGTACAAATGTTTGTCATCACTAAAGGTTTTTGTTAGGGCTGTCACAGCCAATCTGTCAAATTTGGACCCCCTCAACATGCACGTGTCTTAAACAGGAAGCAATGGTCTTTTTTTATGCTTTTCATTTTAAATACACTCCATTAATTTATGCCTATTGTTGTTGTGGAGTCTAATTCTTCATAAAGATATAATGGGTATATTTGTGATGAACAAAGACTGATCAATTTAAAGCAAGGCTTGAGCTCACCCAGCAGAATAGTTCAAAATGGTACTTCAATAATTCAAAATGATGATGGCAGCAGAAATGTAAAAAAAAAGAAAAGTGATCAGGAAAAAGGAAAGTAATGTAGTATTTCATGTAATATTGAGCAAGAAAATCATAATTTTTTTTAGAGGAATAGACTATGAAGTGCAAAGATTAATACACAACTGTCAGTAAGATATTGTTGAATGGAATTTACCTTAAATATTTATCTTATTTTTTTCTTTATGCTTGGATTTTTTAATGGAAACCACTGTCTTGTCTAGTGTTACTTACTGGATATTATTTTGTGTATAAGTGTTTCCAAATGAGTGCTTTTCAAGGAGGGGTGGTGCATGTGTTTTAAATGTCAGTACTTAGCATCAGGATTACTCAATTTTGTGTAGTGCATTTAACCTTGTATTTTCCTGCATCTGGTCACTCAGATGGGCTGCTCCTACCAGCAGCTAACAACATTATTTACTAATTAAAATACACAAATATGCATATGATTTCAAATTAACTTTTACTGCAGAGCCTTCAAAAAGGCTGACAGTTATAGGAAATCACTGCATGTCTGCTAAAATGTCCCAGCATGAGTGCCAGAACTGACAGATCTAGGCTCCAGGACATGGTATGAATTATCAGTGGAGGAAAACACCCTTCATAATCAATTACAGGCAATTACACACTGCTCTACAACTGATTTTGCCACATGGCATTTAGAGATTCCAGCAAAGATTTGTTTGTTTTAAATGCTCTGCTGCTTAGAAATGCTTGTAGAGCGTTAACTGAGAGCTGATTAAGCACAGTGTGTTGGCCAGGGGAGGAAGATGTAGTGAAAATTGGGATATAATCAGGCATTGTTGGTGAGGTTTGGGTGCAGTGGGCTTTTCTCCTTCTCCAGTGCAGATTTGGCGCTAAAGCTCTGTCTGAGGCTGGTGCTGTTTTCACTCCTGGCCTGCTAAAAGCACAAAGGAGGCACACAAGGAATATTTTCTGGTGGAGCTCTGCCTTGTGTTGAGGTTAAGATTTACCATAATGGTTCTTTCAGTGCTCTGCCCAACTCAAGCTGACTTTCACCTTTCTTTCTTTAATTAAGGAATGAAATACCTCCCTAGAGCAGTGTCATCACCTAAAACAGGGTGTCGGCACACTGAGTGGGCCCCCACAATGTTTAATTCACCTGTGGCAGGTGAACCTGCATGGTGAGGGGTTGGAGAGCAGAGCTGCACGTGGCAAGCTGGAAAAGAGAAAAAAATATAAAAAAAGAAAAATATAGAAAGCTGCCACTTAAATGCAGATTAAAGCTGACCATGTCTCCTGACCTTGGAATAGGTAGGATTTTCCTCAGTCTTTTATAGTGTGCTCTAAGGCAGTGAAAAAAAAAAATGCTCAAGGGAGGAGATCAAAGGTTAATTCTTTCTTATTGCAGGAAAGGTGAGAGGCCATTTCAAACCAGAAAATCTCCCCCAACCACAGGCCAGGCTGGGTTGGCTTCATCTTTTCTGGAGCAGATTTTTATAGCCCTTGAGCTGCTGTAACTCCTTGTACTGCTCCAGTTAATCAATCAGGAGAATATTCCCTGGGAGTGCAGTGCATTTGTCTTCTCCCAGGCATGGAGCAGTTCCTCTGGATTTCTCATCATTAATGCACTTTGGTTACCTCCAGTATCTCTGGCCCATCACACAGTTCTGCTGTGAGGTAAACACGTGGAGTAGTGTTAAAAGGGAAACTGGCAGAGCCTTTAATCTGCTTTTTTCTATACATTATTGCTATTTAAGCTCTGTGTTTAAAATGCATCACTGGAGTATTTCAGTTTATTGCAAGTTTGTATTTATAGGCTTTAACCAGGCTAAGGCTGCTGAATGGTGAGTGTGAAAAGTAGTGAAAAAGTGAAACTCTGGAAGAGATCCAGACAGGGCCTAGTACAATGGTAGTATTCATAAAAAAAGAAAAAGAACAACAAAAACAAAACCTAAAAAATGAAAACAAAAACCAACCAACCAACCAAAAAAAAACCCAAAAAAAACCCCACAACAAAAAACCCCAAACAAACCCCAAAAAAACCCCCAAAAACCAAGATCCCAGAATCCAGAATGCTGGACCATTTCTGATACCTAAGGTATCTAAATTTTGTAGCTTCACTTCTGTCCCTTGAAAACAATGGCTGTAGTGGCAAAGACAGGTGCAGAAGAAAAAGGAATGTTAATTAATAAAGAATATAAGAATCAAGACTTGAATAAAGATCTTGGTAGAATGACTGGAGAACAGTAAGTAGATTTTGGAAATATGGAGGAAGTGGTCATAGAGTATTCATTTGTTTGTGGTGAGAGATAAAAAAATAGAAGCCAGAAATAGCAGAAAAGTGGAATTCAGGAAAGGAGGGCTGGGGCAGAGGAGCTGCCGCACTGGAGATTTGCACATTTTGCACATTTCTTGGTGCTGAGCTGGTTCATTTCATGAAGCATCATTTTCAAACTGTGGTGAAATAATGAAAATTAAAAAAAACCAAAAAAACAAAAAAAACCCCAAAAGAAAACAAAAAAACCCCCAAAAAAACACAACAAAAAAGGCAGATCAGATTCCAGCCCTGGTTCTCCTGCTGGCTGGTCCAGCAGCAGCAGGTGAGTTTCCCTCTGCAGGCATGGCAGCATCTCTCTCTCTCAGGTCTCCATTCCATATTCACTCACTGATTTATTTACAGCTCCATAGTCTGCCTTAATACTGCTTTTCTGTTTGTGTCCCAAGTGGTCACTGGATTTATTTTCCTAGAGGAATGTGCCAGGTACTTATATTTGCTGAAAGTAAATATTATTAACATTCATGATGGTGGGATGAATGGGGCAGAAGCAGTCCACTTTTCTTTTTTGAATGGTGGCCTTGTGTTTGTGCAGTTTCACTCTCTCTTTCCATGGCCACATCTTGTGTGCAGGAGCTGTTTCTGATATCAGGAAAGGTCTGTCAGCTGCAAATCTGGTTACCAAGATTAATTTTTTGATAGCAACCCTTAACATTTTCTCCCTTATGAAACCTCTTTCCACTCTTAACCTCTGGTTTTAGAAAGATGCCTTTTTTAATCTAATTTTGTGGAACAAAGCTGCAACCTGGTGACATTTTACATAAGCAAACCTGGTGGCAAAGCTGATCCTCATCCAGGTGATGAAGGTGTGGGTGCTCTGGTGGCGTGAAGAGAGAAAGAGGATTCACACTTGGGAGGGGCAGAGTTGCAATACAAGCATTTCTATTTTGTGTTGTATTCACTTGAAGCTCTGAGGGCAGCAGATGTCAGGCTGCTGCTTGCAGGCTTGAGGAAACAGCCTTACAGAAGATTCACACCAAAACAAATTACATGGATGGAGCAACAGCCTCTGTTTTCAGAATATTTATCAATAAGTACCTTTGGTTCTCTAAGCATGATATTGGAGCTGATGAGAAATCACACTCCAGAGGTTCAAAACTGAGTTATTTTTAGGACCTCTTCCCCACATTTCCTGTAGAGTCTTTGGCTAAGAATGCAGTTAATTGAAAACTGAAGTGTTGTGATAGCTTTTTGATGCTTTCAGTATTGAGTACTTGGAAAATAGAAAGTAGTAGAATCATACAGGCTGGAAAAGACCTTTAAGATCGTTGAGTCCAAATGTTAGCCCTGCCAAGACCACCACTAAACCATGTCCCATGTGCCACATCTACTCATATTTCAAATCCCTCTGAGGTTGGTGACTCCACCACTGCCCTGGGCAGCCTGACAGTCCATCCATTGAAGGAGCTGTTCCTAACATCCAATCCAAACCTCCCCTGGAGGCCATTTACTCTTGTGCTGTTGCTTTTCCTTGGGAGAAGAGATGGGCCCCACCTGGGTGTGCTGATTTGGGAAAAGATGTGGTGACATGGACAACTAGGAGTGGGAAAAGAGAACTTATTGGTCACCTGCTTATGGTATAAGCTGCCCACTTGGATATCTGAGGGTAGTGATGGTAATACTGCCAGTTTATTTTAAAAAAATTAATATGATAAGCAAAAATGCCTTCTGAGGGAATAAACTTAAAACTTATGTGGTTTTTGATTTATGGGACTGACTGACAGCATTGGCAGCCATTAGAGCCAGTATTGTGCATACAAAGGAGGCTAAATGTGAGAACAGAGCACTAGAACCAAGACTGTAGATTCAGCCACTTCCTAACACCAGGGTTCTGAGCTGGCTTGGTGTCAGGTGCTGGTGTTTTTCAGCTTTTGGGCCAAGATTACATCTCCATATTTTTGTTTTCCTCGTTGCATCTTGCATTGCAACCACAGGTGTCGGCCGACTCGAGCTCCTCCATGAACTCCAACACGCCCCTGGTGAGGATCACCACCCGCCTCTCCTCCACTGCTGATGCCCCCATGCTGGCTGGAGTCTCGGAGTATGAGCTGCCAGAAGACCCAAAGTGGGAGTTCCCAAGAGATAAGTACGTGGATTTCTTCTCCTATGTGTCTGAGTAACCCCAAACACGTGGCAGGGGGAAGCAGCTCTCCTCATGTCTGCCGGGGTTCCTCTGGTTTAAAGAAAAATCTCAGTTACCTGAAGGTGCTCTGAAGATCAAGATTCAGTTCAATTGTCTGAGATCAGTTTGGTCAAATAGAAATGAAATTTCTTCTGCCAGCAGATAATATTTTCAGATTTATTGCAGGTTTTGAGATGCTCTGCTGAAATGTATCTCCTCTGTTAGGAAATAAGTTAGGAAAATTTGGTGTGATCTAGACTGGGAAAGATATCCACATGCAAGCACTGTTGAAAGGCAATGGTGATTTCCCCATGTTTCTTAGTTGACTACTTAATTGGCTAATATTTAACAAAACAGGTAATACAACATGTATGAGATAGAGAAAGTCTAAATTATACTATTGTAAAATCTTTTCTTTCTGTCATATCTCTGGGTAGGATTTGGTGTTGAGTTTGTATTGACATGTATTAATAGAGATGATTATTTTTAATGTAGGGGAACATTTTGCACATTGGGTGCATGGATGTGGAATTTCTGTGGCTTAAAAGTGCTGGGTTTCAAGCAGAGCATGCTGAATTTTGATATATTCAAATTCACATGGCTGCGTAATATTTTCTTCAAAATCTGTTGATTAATACGCAAAATGAGCTCTTGGATAATCTAATTAAAACTGTAATCGTGTTGCTTAACATAAAAAAAAATGCAAAAGAGAGCTAATGTTAACAAAGGTAGAGTCTTTATGAACATGAATATTTGTCAGAATTAGTACTAGCTTTAAGAAGTCTTTAGGGTCTTTTGAGAAAGTAACACCTTTTATCATGGACAGTTCTCTCTGGAAGTTCAGGGTTGTAACTTTTGAATAGACAAACTGTAATTTTGAGCTTTCTGATAACTCTTCTGGAAATCATTTGATTGGTTTAGCTGAACACAAGAGTAAAAGGCTGTAATTGCCACCTGCAGCACTCTGGTCAACAGTGGGGGTCTGTATATGTGCTCCTGTCAGCCCCTGCCCTGGGGGGATCCACTAAATGCGGAAAATTTTAGAGTTGCTAAACATTTAAACCCAGTGCTGAGCACGAATGTAGGGGGAGCAGATTTGCAATGAAAGGAGGCTATTTAGAGGCAGTTTATTAGGCTGGGGGGCAGCAGGCACACAATGAGGGGTTTGTAACTTTGGTCCTAGCAGGGCAATAGCACATAAATTAACCAGTTTCCAATGCAAATGTTTGTTCTCTGCCAAGACCCTAAATTTGGTTTTAGCTCTGGAGAAAAGGCAGGGTGACCTCAGCATAGCATATGCTGCCCTTCAGTCTTTGCACCTTTTTAAAACTTGCATTTGCTTTAGAAACCAGCCCAAAACAGCTCGAGAAATTCTCACCAAGCCAGAGCCCACATGTGACAGACTGAGCTGGCTGCTCTTGGCAGGAGCCACCTCGCTTCTGTCCCCTGCCCAAGCAGATAAGCAGGGTTTCAAATAATTTATCCCTCATCTAACTTTGCTGCTGATGGCATGACAGCCTCTCCCTGTACTTCATGGTGAAAGACAGGTGTCCATGCTTTTAAGAATGAGTCCCAACATCTGTGATATCTGTGAAATCCTCCTGTTGACCATGGAAAGTCAAGTCCTTAAGAATTTGTTTACAAAAATGTTTGAATCTGGCCCCTATGCTGGATAACATTATCAGCATCACACTCACTGAGCATCCTCCCTGACTCCTGCCACAGCACTGCTGCTGGGTCTCACAAGGTATTCTCTGCAAGTAAAGGAGCCTGGCTCTAGCTCTTAAGCACTTAAACTGAAATCAAAAAATTTTGCCCAGAGGCTTTCAAGTTTCTTTTTTATTTCATTTCTTTCTCCTCATGCAGCTGAGATCGACATCCCTATGTCTGTCTGTTAGATCTGAGCAGGTTTTGCAACCAGGAATATGCTCCAAAAAATGCATTCTGCACAGCCCACTTAGTGACTGCTCCTTTTAGGAGGGTTTGATGTTGGTGCTGTGATCACAACCGAGTTTGTTTTTCCCAGTCTCAGCCTCCCCTCTCTGAGCAGAGCCTGGGCTCTGCAGGCAGGAGGCACCTTCTGGTCCCCTCAGCCAAGACTCTTGTGGCTGCAAAGAGCCTGCAGCCAAGAAAGAGCCACTGTGCTGGACCCTCTGTGGCTGAAACCTGACTCCCACCTCCCTGCAGTCAGTGTGGACACAAAGATGAGCAGCCCTGCCACAGTGACAGGAGACTCCGGCCTGCTGCTGGCTGCTCCCCAGCTCCAGCCATGCTCTGGTGCTCTTTCAAAGCTTTGCCCCTCCACACTGCATCTCCCCTCAAGCCACCAAGTGCAGCCTTGAGGAGAGCTCAAAAAGTTCTCAAAATCTGGGTTTACTGACTGCTGTGCCTTTCTGAGCTGCTCACTCCACCACCCCTAGGAAAACACACCCCGGCGCGCGCGGAAACCGACGCGCACCCAGCCCTTATTGCTTCCATATGATAAACCCCTCCCTCGCGCTGCAGCGAGTTGCTGAAAGGTTTTTAGTTGAAAGGTTTTTATATTTAGCCCTGGAGTTTCACTGGCTGCACCCCTGCAGCAGATGCTGCGTGTTAATCTGCTGTTTGCACCTCCAGGCTGACGCTGGGCAAGCCCTTGGGAGAAGGTTGCTTTGGCCAAGTGGTCATGGCCGAGGCGGTGGGGATTGACAAAGACAGGCCAAAAGAAGCAGTGACCGTGGCAGTGAAGATGTTGAAAGGTAAGAAAATTGGGTGATTAGGGATCAGAACGGGCAGTGTGGCGGCTCTCAGCCAGAGAATTTTCTCCTGTGGCATCTGAACTCTGTCATCGTTGCGGGGTGGGTCAAAGAGCACATAGCTGACCTCAGCCTTCAGCAGTCTGGGGTGTAAATCTGCACCCTTGACAGCCTGTTTATCTTGAGCACCGACTATTTGGGAGCCAGGAGATGTATTAGCATCGTGTGGGTCTCTCTGCTTTCAGTTTATTTCATGTCACAGGCTATCCTTGTGTAGATCTGAACCCATTCAGTCCAGGTGGTTGGTACCAATTTATTTTGAATTTAATTGTAAGGTTAGTTCGCAGGAAAGGCAGTGTTATTGGACAGCTAAGGACAGCTTTTTTATGTCTGGTCTTGCTGTGCTTTTTTATCTCTGATCTTGCTGTGCTGCCACTTTACATAATAACACTGAAGAGTCCACCAAAGAGGCTGAGATTATTTTTTGGCAGGTCATAATATATGATGTCCAGTGTAAACTGGAAAACAAATCCCATATTTTACATTTTGAGCTACACATATTTTACACCAGGTGATGAGCCTTACTGAAGCTGAGGCTGGCACACTAAAATTTATGAACTGAACCTGTGTCTTCTGCAGATGATGCCACAGAAAAAGACCTGTCTGACCTGGTGTCAGAGATGGAGATGATGAAGATGATTGGGAAGCATAAAAATATCATCAATCTTCTTGGAGCCTGTACCCAGGATGGTGAGTAGAGAAAAGAAAAAGTAAACCAGGACTTTCCAACAGGTCTGTGAAAGTCTCATTAATCATAATTTTTCAAGAGGTTTTAAGGAAGCAGTCATGCCGTGATAGGATTTTTAGGTATTTCTTTAGCTTAACAGCAATATTTTAACTTCTGTTTCTCATTATAGTTGCAGCCTTAATATGAGAAAGGGTCCTGTATCATATGAAAACTCTCTAATCCCTTGCTGTAAGGAGCAAATGACCTTTTGCAGGGCCTTTACCCAAGTCTGCTGTTCTGAATTGTCAGCCCTGCTTTAGGAGAACTTGCACCCCACAAATTTGAAATGAGTACTTTCACTCCTGGAAAAGCTAATTATGCTACATAAAGTGATGCAGAATGGCATAACACTCTGGAAATTAAAAAAATTTAAGAAGCACTTTCCCTTTATTGGAGATCTCAGGCTATTTTTTGATTGAAAATATTTGTTTTTCAGTAAATGGTGAGGTCTGAAAGGAAGAAGCACTGGGGTGGGTTTTAGGGACATTAAGGCATTAATGGCTTAATGGCTCTGCCACTCCTGCTATGGAGCTTTGGGCAATCACTTCCCCATATCCAAACCTTTTATTTTGATTTTTTTAAAGCCGTGCTTGCCATTTTCCCATTTCATTGATTCATTTAAGTAATTACAGCGCACTAAAAGCTTTTTTTACATAAAAACCACTTTACCCTGGTACCTGACCCTGCTTTTGCCACGGTTCTTTTCTTGCCAAGGTCCTCTGTATGTGATAGTAGAATATGCCTCCAAGGGGAACCTGCGGGAGTACCTGCGAGCGCGCCGCCCGCCCGGCATGGAGTACTCCTTCGACATCAACAGGGTGCCCGAGGAGCAGATGACATTCAAGGACCTGGTGTCCTGCACCTACCAGCTGGCACGAGGCATGGAGTACCTGGCTTCCCAAAAAGTAGGTGGAAAATCAGCAAACACAGAGCTTTTATCTCAGTTTGATTTTCTCCTTGTCTTTTTCGCGTTCAGGAGTTTGCTGGGGAGGAGGAGCTGCCTCAAGGAGGTTGTGCAACCCACAGCCCTGCAGATCAGTGGGAAAATTCATGCACTTAAAAGGTTTTTCATCTGTGTTTAGCAGTATTGCTGAAATGACGCCCGGAGTGGATCATTTAAAGTAAATACTGTGCACGGATCTGCAGTTTGAATGCAGGAGCACAGGTGGTCACTTGGTTACACAACTCACATCACTCCACCCATGAGCAGCAGCCTCTGTTTGCCTCCTGTTTCCAGTCAAACCTACCAAATCCTTTCACATCGTGGTGTAAAACAAATGATTTCAGTGGCTGAAAGGGCTTACAGAATAACAACAGGCAGGGTTGAGAAAACCCAAGTCAGCAGGGCAAAAAGAGTGGGCAGAAGAGGCATAAATAAATGGAGGGTATTAGTCACTTGAATTATACACTTTACTGTTAACTGGTGTTTCAGGAAAGTGAGCTGGTTGAAAGAATTTATTTATCTTGTCGTGTCCCCAGACTCTTATTTCTAAAACCTGTCTCCAAACCTTTCTTTTTAACCAGCATTTTGATTAAATCATAGTTATAAAACCTTAAATAGCCCTGTATAACTAACTCTGTAAACATGCTGTGGCTTAGTGGACGACCCATCCTGGATACCCAGGGTGATGTTTGGACCCAAAGGCTAAGCCAGAGCAGCAGATAGCAATGATAAGTACTTCCTGCAGGGTGTGGGGTGGTTAGTGGGATTTATCCAGATTTCCAGTCATGTCCACTCCCAAGTATGGAGCTGTTTTTAACCAAAGACTAGGGCTGAGTGTAAGCCTCCATTCCTGTTGTGTGGAGTCATGATTTTGTTATTGTTTTTTCTGCACTTGTAGAGGTTGGGGAAGAGAAGGAATCCAGGTTTAATTTCGCTTTTATTCTTTTTGTTTTGACACAGTAAATCTTAGCTCAGCAGGGTGATGTGCGTGACAGCAAGGCACGGCTCTTCTAATGCAGTAAAGCAGGGCTATTGATTAGGTGACACACCTCAGGATATCTCTCTCTGAAATTATTGCAGCTCCTGCCTGGCAGTGAGCCAGGTCCCAAGAAAACAGAGCTGATATGAAAGGAAAACATAAATCTTTTCATCAGCCATTCTTGATAGCAAGTGTCCTCCTGAGGAGCTCTCAAGTGCTGCTGTAGGACACTCTCAAGAGCCACTGCAGCCTTTTCTGTTTGCAAAAGCACTTGGTTGGTGCTGTGCTGAGCTGGGCAGGTGGAGAGGCATTGCCCAAGGCAGAGGGAGAGCAGGGGCAGCACAGAGCAGAGCTGTGCATTCCTGTGCTCCAGATATCCCACCACTTCTGTTTGTATTTCACCCCTTCCTCTCCCCTTAGGGATCCATTTTCTGAGCTGGAATAATAAGAGAGCTGCTCTTCTCATGGTCTTGCCATCATGCCTGAGCTGTGAGAAGGGAGTGTTCTTGTTATTTCAGCCCAATAAAGGGGCTCACTGAGACTTCAATAAAGAAAATGGTGAAGGTGATGTTTGTTCACCTACCCTTTGCCTCACAAGAAGTTTTTGCTTTACAGGCAGTTGTACTTAGAACCAGTATCCCATTTCCAAGGTTGGATGGATGATTTTAAAAGTAGGAAGCTTGGCCCATGCTGTTTCTGCCAGCACAGCATGGCTGATGCAGAGTTAGAGGACTGGTGGGATGCAGAAATCGTGCACTGTTGGCTGGTCCTGTGCTCCTGAAGGCACTGCTGGAGCAGGTTTTTCCTGGCAGTTCCCCATGGCTAACCCAGTGAGGAGCAGAAACTTCATTTTACCCATGTGGGATGAGAGATCTCAGCAGTTTGCTGGGGCAAGTTAAAGAGCAAGAAACAAACTGGTTGTTATATTGCTTTTTGTAGTGTGTCAATGCACACACTGAAATTAAACATACAGTGTCAAGAGTTATCCAAAACTGAGGAGGGGAAAAATATATTAAAGTTGAAAATAAATAAAATATCCTGCTGAGATTCAAAGTGCAGTGTTTCTTACCATGCCCTCACTGCCACTTAGTACCAACCCTAATAAAGCTACTTGAACCCAGGAATAATACCCAGAGCAATCACAGAGTCCCCTCAGTGCCAGGATAATGCTGACATGAAGGAAACATTTCCCAGGAGGTAATAGGTTTAGTTTCAGTACCAAAACTATCTTAAAAACAAACAGTCAAACCCTGATTGTTTTGGGTTTTTTTAATTTTCCTTTTCATAATTGCATTTTTATAATCTTGTGGTCGAAATAATTAAACACACCCTAGACATCCTGCTCACAATTATATTAATATCTTTACTATTAAAAACAGTTGCACTGATTCAGACTGGATGCCGGCTTTTATCTCTGGTGAGACAATATAATTTAAGAGAAGCCACACAATAAAAATGTTCATTAACATTATTTCTGATGAAACTGCTATACCTGTACCTGGGCACATGTAAAGGAGAGTGCATCACACAAAGCTTGGCACAACCTGGGTCACCCAGCTTTCAGCCTTAGAAAAAATATAAGATTTAAGCGGATCAGGACTTTCTAAGACACTTCTTAGGGCCATGGAAACAGCAGCTGAGGGTATAGATTGCAATAATTAAAAAAAATCATATTTCACAGGCTTGTAGTGAAGGTGTGGATTTCCCACCTGGTCATTTAGGTTAAAATCTATGAAGGAGATTTATTTGTGGTGTTGAAGCTCTTCCACTTTTGCTGCAGTTTATTTCAGTGGGCTGGTTTTTTTCTTCTTTTTTGTTTCCAGTGCATCCATCGAGACTTGGCCGCAAGAAATGTTTTGGTAACGGAAAACAATGTCATGAAAATAGCAGACTTTGGTTTAGCCAGAGACATCAACAATATAGATTATTATAAAAAGACTACTAATGTAAGTGGATGGTTTTCTAATCTCTGGAAACAAGTGTTTCTTTCAGTGATTCATTTCAGAACTATGGTTGTAAAGTTAATGGGCTCCTTGTACAGCAGACTCACTTTTCATCCCAGACAAAAAAGCAGGGATCAAGGACATGAGCATTTCTGTCTCCTCTTACAGGGACAGTTAGTTAAAAAGATAAGCAAAGAGGCTGCATATTGGAGGATTAGAAATGCTGAAATACAATAACTTTTTTTTTTATTGTGTCCCTGACTCCAGTCAGTCGTAATAATTGGAAATATTCCTGCTGATCCCAGCTGGTTTAGCACCCAGCCTAGGATCTTGCAATACAAACAATGCCAGCAACAACCACAATAAAAATCCTGTTTACTTGTGGTGATGTCACATTCAGCCTTCAGCCTGTGCCTGTACTTAGCTTGTTACAGATTGTGATGGTGATCTCAAAGTGGGGCTAGAGATAGAGAAAATTTATTTTACTCCCCACACTGTCACTGTTTTGCTGCTTAGCCTGTACCAAATCAGGAAGATAAAATGTTTGGGATGTAGCAGTGGTACCTGGTTTGAACTCCTGACACCTCCTCAGGGGATCTCTTAAGGTCCTGCTGAGCTGCACTTGGGATGTGATGGGAACTCTGCAGAACTCAATGAGTTCTACAGATTTTATTTGTATAAATATGGCTTCATATTAACAATCGTGTTAAGTGGCTTATTTATGAAAATCACTAAGTGATTAGTGGCATTTTAATGATAACATCTGCCTATTTCCAAATGCCAGAACCACCATATACAGCAGCATTAGAGGGGATTGAACCCAGTGCAGTTCCCAGCTCTGTGTGTGTAAAGCAACAGGCAGCTCTGACTGTGAGCTTTGGGACAGGAAAACAAAATTCTTGGATTTAATAATCAATTTGTTTTTGCAGGCAGGCTTGTTTTCCAGAAGTTTATTAATTGTGGGGGTTTTTGTCTTTAAAGAGCCATAGCAGAATGATACTATTGATTTTGATCTACTTATCCTACCATTCTCATAGCAAGCAGTCTGGAAAATTTTTGGGAACTCTCATTGCTTTTAATTTTATCTTCAGTGCTTGTATCCATTTTTATTACAGTCTCTGTACTTTAGCCCATCTTAGTGTTCTCTCACTGAAAATGCTCAAGGTAAATTATGTGCTGGTTGCTTTAGCAGACAGCTCTTAGAGAAATCATCCTGCCAGTCGCTGCCATTTTAATTCCTCTTCCTCTCCAAACTCACAGGGACGGCTTCCAGTAAAGTGGATGGCTCCAGAAGCTCTGTTTGACAGAGTTTACACACATCAAAGTGATGTGTAAGTGGCCTGATTTCATTGGGGTTTTGGGCATGGGAAGGGAGGCTTGTTTTGCTTTGTGTTTGTCAAAATTTGGGATATTTCATATGTGTTCTCCTGTTGTCCTTTACCTTTAAGACTTTTCATTCTGTTTCACATATTAATAGATGGAACACGACTTGCCCTTAGAAAGTGAGGATTTTATGGTAGACTGCTAACCAGTGCTCTGTTACTAATCTGCCCAGCTTCAAAGCACATGAAAGGTGGAAAATGCTAACCTCCTTCTGTCACTGCGGAAGTTTCCCCCCTTGAACTTATTTACGGATGTGCAGCTACAAAGAGTCTATCTAATTTGCTTGCCTTTTGACATGCTCTGGACTTCCTTCAGGTTTAAAAAAATAAAAGGAGAGAGAGAAAAGAACGACAAAAAAAAAGGAGAAAGTTCCTGAAAACTTCTTATAAAAATCTGTGCTGAAATTCGGTGCAATAAAACGTAGGCTGGGTATGCTGGAAAAGTTTTCTCTGATTTTCAGAAGTGGAGTTGCTTCCCAGCAGTACTTCACATGTAATAGGAAATCATTGGACTCTGACACTTCAAAACTCTTTTAATGTGTGTGCACAGAGCCACTGGCTGATGCAACTGCTCAGGGTTTATTCTGCTTCCTATTACAGTTCTATGTGCTTGAAGTAGACATTTATTTCTTATGCAATACAGATGAAGATTCTGGTTTTTATTTCTCCAAGAAAAGCTCTTAACTGTAAAGGGCTGGATGCTTCCCAGCAGAGGAGCAAAAGGTTATGCAAGTCAGTGCAGGGTTAAAAAGGAAAAAGGCAGGATGGAGAAAATAAGAAGTATCTCCTCTTTCTTTAACCTGGAGCAGTTTCCAAGCTTCTCTCTCCTTAAGAAAATCATTTGCTGAGGCGTTTCCTGCAATCTCCACATCATTTACAAAGGAAACTATATACACAGGTTAAGGGTGGATCAAACTGTGTTTTAAAATAACATCTTGGCAAAATATTTAAGTGAACGTGGAGTAAACCACTTCACTGGCTGGGGACTGAGAGTCAGCCTGAGCTCCTCAGCAGCCAGGGAACACGAGGATTTCAGTGCTGGGCCTTGGAGACTCTTGGCCCCATGGTGGCTTTGAAGATGGCTAAAGATAATATTATTGTAAGTTTGTGCAAACAGTTTACTAAAATACGGTGCTGCAGAGCTGGGGGAGCTGCAGAGGAGCTGGGCAGGCTCTGTGCTGGTGCTCACCTGGCAGAGCTGCCTGCCACAGAGCCCCAGCTTGCCAGCCAGGCAGGATGAGGCAGGAAAACTGGCTTAAAAATTATCCCACTTCATTTCCTAGCAGCAGTTAGCAACGAAAGAGAATAAAAAAATAAAAGAAAGGCAGGGTGACGCAAAATATTTTTGTTTTGAACAGTCTGCTTTTTTCCAAAATATCCTGCCACATAATTGCACCCCAGCTGGGCTGGGAGGGCTCTGTAAGTCATTAAGCTGTGAAGATGCAGTGCTGGGCAGTGCTCAGAGCACACCAGACAGAGGAAAAGAGGGGATTTGGGAACATGCTGGGGTCAGTCCCCATCCTAAATGCTGTCCTTCCCTCTGATGCACTTCCCAGATCGCTGTCCTGCTCTGGGCAGGCAAACCTGGTTTAAACACCTCTAGGAGGGATGGGATTCTCTGTTTCCAGGCATGTCTACTAATGCAGTTTTCTCTTTGATTTGCAGTTGGTCATTTGGTGTGTTAATGTGGGAGATCTTCACCTTAGGAGGGTCACCCTACCCAGGAATCCCAGTGGAGGAACTTTTTAAGCTGCTTAAAGAAGGGCACAGGATGGACAAACCTGCCAACTGCACCAACGAGCTGTAAGGACTCTGATTTTGCTGTGCCAGGGCTGAGGGGCACAGCTGTACTGCGTTCATGCGTTTAGTGCCACCCCCAGAAGAATCAAACCCTTTCAGAACTGCTTGACTCTAAAATTCAGGATGTTTGTGAGGGTGTAGATGTGTAAGGGAAAGGTATGGGAAGGGTTTCAGGGAATGTTTGGCAGAGGATGCTTCTTTGCACACCCTGCTGTGATCCTAGTGCAGAAAGAAGAAATCATCTGCAAGCCAGTCTCTGTCTGTGTTTTTACGCCCATATTTGTTTGATTTTAATGTTACCAATGTAGAAATTCATAAATGTTGCGCATACCACTAATCAAAGATGGGGTACTTTAGGCTGCTTTTATACAGAACAAAATACATCTGGGAACTCCTGTGTTAACACAGCATTATCTCCTGGTGGTGTGGGGAGTGTGATTTCAGGTATTCCAATACAGACCTTAACTATACTTAATTTTTTTTGCATTTTAATTTCTTCACAAAAACTGCAATCCCTGACATGTTAAAATATTGTAATTTAATGCCTTTGAAGTTGCTGGGCCACAGAATTGGGCCCACAAAAAGGTAACTTAGACACTGAGCAAGGGAGAGACAGGAGTAGGAAGCCCCTCTGAGACAGGGGGTGTTGTCCAGCTTTGGGGATTTTCAGCGTTCCGTTGAGCAGAGCTATGTGTGCTCACTGCTTTCCTTGTGAAGGGCAGCCCTGACTGTGCCTGGAAAGGTTTGTGAGGAGGATGTGTGATTTTAATTAAGCCAGGCAAATGTGTGTTTCTTCCAGCTATATGATGATGAGAGATTGCTGGCATGCTGTGCCTTCTCACAGACCCACTTTCAAACAGTTGGTGGAGGACTTGGATCGGATCCTCACTCTCACAACTAATGAGGTAGGTAAAGTGTCTCCCTCCCACAAGCTGCTGATCAGGAAAAATGGTTCAGGGGACAGATGGAATTTATTCAATTATGAAATCCTGCTCAGGTTCACTCCTTATTCTGTTTGTCATTGTCCTCTGAGGTTACACGCAGCTAAGCTATGTATCCTATGAAATCCTGGCTCTCCTGCCATTACGCCTGGGATTATGTAACTCGAAAGAAACACATCTTTGAGGAGTTTTTGTTTGTTTCTCGCTGCATCTCTGGATGGTTTTGGTGTTGAGGGACAGCACGTGGCAGGTTGAGGGGCAGTGTTTGTGTTTCAGCACGTCAGGGAGGGGTGTGGAGTTCCTGGTGGCTCTCATTTGCTGGCTCACTTTGATTCCCAGCCTTGCTATGTAGGTCAGGAGAGGAGAAACCGTCAATGGCAGATTTCAGATGATGTGTCTGAGAGTGAATTAGGTTCACTGCAACAGCTCTCTGTGGAGGGAATGAGGACCCACGGGGGATGTGCAAACAGCCATCCAATTATCCAAAGGTCCTGCCTAGCACTGCTGCAGGTTGGGCTGTGTGAATGCAGGAAGGCTTTATTTGAAGAGCTTTCTTTCAGAGATCTGAGATATTATTAGTTTTAGCAAGGAACACACTGATTAGGGTATTCACACAGGAATCAGTCCTCTTATCGCTGAGCCACGTGCACCTTTGAGGAAAGTCACAAGTGATGGAAATGTTGATTCTTTTGGTGGAAATTTATTTTGAGAGACAATACTTGGTGTCCCAGAAATATTCTACAAACTCCTATTATTTCTGAGAAATTAAATACTTAATGGGAGCAAAAAAAGAACAAAGCAGTTACACAGGAAAGTTGCAACAACTGGATTTGACCATTTCAAAACAAGATTTTGGTATTTGCTATTGCTTCTTTGTAGAAAAAAAGATTTGAATCACTCTATGTGGCTCCTCAACATTATTATGTTCTATTTTTTTTTAATCGTTTGAGAAATAACAAATGGATTGTGGAGCAGCTTTGGGAAAGCCTTTTCACAATGGAGATGACAGGAGAACCTGAATAAAGAGGTGGCATTTTTTATGATCATTTACCCAGATCTGGTTGAAAAAGATTCTTTGGCTTCAGTAGCAGCTGTGAATTTATCTGGGTTCTGGTTTTAAGGTTTTCTCTAAAAAAGTGGCACCTTCAGGGCTGGCTGAGAGATATGGAAGGAATATGCCCTCTCTATGGAGCCATATGTCCTGTTACCATTTTCACCTCATCCATTACTCCCTGCATCTTTTCCTGCCTAATTCATACATGATTTCACAAGACCAGTTGGAGGTAGGCTGGCTGCCACTGCAGAGTGCTGGGTGGCTTGGACTGGATTTGTGTTTGCAAATTCAGGAGGGAGGTTCTGGGCTGCAATTCCAAGCCTGGGAAAGGATATTGCTTTCTTTCTTGCGTGCATTTAACCGCCGAGCCTTCCCAACCCCGTACTGCTCACAGACCTGGAATGATCTCAAAGTTAACCTGAAAAGGCCTTTAGGGTTATGTAAATTACTTTAGACTAGAATCATAAGAAAAAACGTCTGGAAAAAGCTTAGGAACACATCCAGTCCATCTGATGGGCCTATGGCAGGGCCCACTATACGTTTGTCATTCCTGACAGATGTTTATGTAACTTGTCCTCACAGATCTCCACTGCTGTATTTCGGCATCGCCTCTGGACAGCCTGTTGCTTTGTTTTCCTAATCTCTAATCTTTCAACATCAGATATTGCTTTTGTCCTATTTACCCTGGACATAGAAAGCAAATCGTTCCACTTGTCTTCGCAGCGCGTTTCATGTTCCCGAGCGCTTGTTGTCATCTCGGTGTCTCCTGAGAGCTCCAATGTGTCCCGCTTTCCTCCACAGCTTTGGAGACCTCTAATTCTGTGTAAACTGCATGGTCTTCCTGAAGTGCAGGTCCTCCAGGCTCACTGCTTATCCTCTCCCCACTCTCCCTTGCCCCCCAGAATAGCCCTGGCTCAATCTGGTTTGCCCAACAACTCATTTTGCTGGGGCAGCCAATAATTTCTTCTGCTTTTGTGCGAGTAATGATTTCTGCTTAAATAGTAACACCTCATTCTTTTCCATGTTGAATCTTTGCTTGTTGGGTTTTTAATGTGTTTTATTGCTGGGTTTTTTTCCCCAAAAGGGTCTCATTCCCATGTTTCTGTGACCCACGTGAGCAGAAGTCACCAGGAGTCAGCCTGGTGGCTGTGGTGCTTTGTCAGCACCAGAAACCAACCTGGTGCTGGTTCTTGTGCCCCTTGGTGTGACTCTGGCTATTGACACTGGATAAGGATCCTGTCTTCAATACTGAATTAATATCTGAGTTACATCAAGTCTTCTGATATAATGAGCCATATCTGATAGCCCCTGGGAAAGTCCTGATTCTTCAGACTGGGATCTTTTCTTCTTCTATCTATTTAGAAAATGTCTGATTATTTCTGCTCACATAGGGCTGATTTTCTAATCCACAAATATGCAACAGGATTGCCCTTGTGGATTTTTCAAGGGCCTGGGCAGCCACATAGTCAGTAATCAATAGATCCAAACTCCCTCCTTTTGGTCCCTATTAAATTTTCCAGCATTTTAAAACATACCACACCCTCCTTTTAAAATGGTGACAATTTTTAAACTCTAAGATGGTAATGACTGAACCTCTGACTTAAAAAAAGGAATGTTAGCCAAAGGACTAAATTACCCCAAACCTAAGCACAGCAGCATAAAATACTGAGTGAGGTGGAAGACTCGACTCGTCAGTACGATCATGACTTGTGGTTTAGCAAATGAAGAGATTGCATTTAAATGAATGCAGCTGCCTTTAGAAGTTGAAAGAGAAGGAACATTTCAAGGGGAAAAATAACTTTATTCTCTTGCCAAAACTGTTGTTTCTAGCAAAAGAGCCTTAACCCAAAACTTGGATTCTGCAGATGATATTTCCTTTTTTAATGACTGCTTTGGTCATGGCTACTCTGGGATGCACAAGACACAAATATGTGGTGTCAAAAACCCAAATCGTGTGAATTTGATTTTGTTTTTCCTTCAGATCTTTTTTGCACGTATGCCACTGCATGTTGAAGCACAAATTTAATATCACAGAATATAAAACAGAGATTCAAAGTGACCAAAGGCATACAAAGTTGGAAACGTCTTTCCCTCTCCAAATCACTACCATGTGCTAAAGAAAAATGGTTCTATTTAGGATGAAATTTCGGTTTTATCATTGCGAGTGAAAAGCCCTTTTTTGATGTGGTTGCCATGTTTATTCCCACTGACACAGCTAATGCTGGTGATGTTGGACTTCAGAAAATACCGTGTTATTGGCTTGTTTTTTCTTCCCCTAGCCGAGCTCCTTGTTTTATGAGGTATTTAGGCAACGAGGCAGTTTTGAAGGCAGCTGATTCACAGCGAGCGAGCGTCATTCCCAAACCGCTCCCTCCCAAAACCCGCGCAGTGGTGACATTTTATTGTCAGCTCTCTTCGCTGGCTAAAAACTGCTTTTATTCCTCTTGCCACAGGAGTATCTGGACCTCAGTGGGCCTCTGGAACAGTATTCCCCCAGCTACCCCGACACGAGGAGCTCGTGTTCCTCGGGGGACGACTCGGTGTTCTCGCCCGACCCGATGCCTTACGAACCTTGTCTCCCCAAGTACCAGCACATGAACGGGAGCGTGAAAACATGAAAGGAGGAGCAAAGAGGCGAGAACATCAAAGCTACCTACCGTATGCAAAGCTAAAGCTTTCCTCCAGGACCTTCACGTTTCTGCTTGTACATAGGAAATGCGGGGAAAAAAAAAAAAAAGGAAAGAGAGACGAAAAAGGGAAAAAAAAATTAAATTTGGAGGAAAGCGGTCGGAACCTACATAAAGATTCTCATCACTTGCAGCTTTCAGATGTTTCCCAAGAAAGAAGAATGTTTATGAGCTGTGTCTAGATACCCATTGCTATCAATTTTCTGGCTTCCTGTGAGCTGCAACAGACTTTGTTTGTACAATGGACCAGTCGGACTTGAGGCAAACTCTGGGTCTGCCTTTCTTGTTTATTTTGTAATATTTGGAGAAAATATATGTTGGCACACACTTACAGAGCACAAATGCAGTATATAGGTGCTGGATGTATGTAAATATATTCAAAAATATGTATAAATATATATTATATATATTTACAATGAATTATTTTTTGTATTGATTTAAAAAATGGATGTCCCAATCCACCTAGCAAATTAGTCTCTTTTTTAACAGCTATTTGCTAAATGCTGTTCTTACACAGAATTTCTTAATTTTCACCATCCAAAGGTGGAAAATACTTTGCTTTCAGGGAAAATGGTATATCATTAATTTATTAACTAATTGGTAATGTACAAAACAGTTAATCGTTTATAGGGTTGTTGTGTTTTTGTAATTTAAATGGCATTTCTATGCAGGCAGCACAGAGGACTAGTAGATATATTGCTCAGACTTTACTAGTTTTCAGATCTTTAAGAAAAGAAATATTTACAGTATATAACTAATTTGGGGAAATTAAACTTTTGATTTATTTGTGTTTAAAAACTGCAGTGTCAGATGATTATTCTTATCACAACCAAATCCTTTAACAAGAAAGTCTTTTTCCTTTAAGGTCCAAAAAGCAGAGTCGTTCCACTCCCCCCCCCCCAAAAAAAAAAAAGAAAGAAAATAAAGGACATTTTGAAGAAGGTTCTTTAAGTAAGGAGAGACATGAATTGATCTATAACCACAGCAGAACAGACTGCTCTAAAAGGAGCTGAGCTTCTACCCTGAGTTGCACATGCATCAAATTATCCACAATTCTCTTGCCTCAGTTGGGTAATAGGTTCCAGACCTTTGGCCTGGATCTTTTGCCTTTATCCCTCTATTGTAACTTAAGTTAAAAAGAGAGAAGTTGTTTATAATGACAGCTTGCCATAGGAATATCAGCATCTTTTTAGGGGATTAATTCATGCTGACTCCAGTATTTCCTTCTGAACCATTCCATAACAGTAGGTGTAGCACTGGCCTCTGCTAGAATATCACTGTTGTTTGCATCTTTTTTACAGAATCTTGTATTTTTACTTTCAAAACATTCACTTTGATATGGCCATGGAATATGAATGCAAATTTCACTGTTTAATGTGGTGGTGTGTTTGTTTTGGTTTTGGATTTTTTTTTAATAATTTTTTAATTGGGTAAAATAAGTATTAAAATCTGTTAACTTTTGTACTGACAATAAAATGTTTCTACAGATATTAATGTTAAAATTACAAAATAAATGTCATGCAGCTTATTTTTCCTAATCCTTTGTGTCATACAAAATGGTTTCCTGAACATCAAGTGATGGAACACGTCCAGAAAAGCTTCCTTTGGACCTTATCATAGATCCTATATTACAAAGCAATCCTTTCAGGAATAATGCTTTTGCCTCTGTCTTTTAAAAGTCTACTCATGAATAGCATGGGTTATTTGAGTAAACATATGTACATCTTTGGTGGAAAATGGCTTGAAGTGTTCATAATGTAGACCCAAAGTATGTTCTCTTTTTATTTAGGCTGTATCCTTTCATTAGTGAAGTTTCTGATTCATTCAGGGGAGGCTGGAGGACCATTTGCATGGGAGATTTAAAAAAAAATCATAACAGATGGAAAGAAGGAAAAAGTTTGGTGTCATGGCAAGAGTTTAAAAGTTTTCTGTTGTATTTTTTCCTTTTTTTTTAAAACTTGGAAGCAGAAGGAAGACACCCCAAAACAGCCTGTGCTTGAGGCAAAACTTCATGGTCACATTTTGCTGCAGGTTATCCTGGAGAGGGATGTTGGATGTGCTCTTCACCACGTGCTCTGGAAGTGCTCCAGACACCAAAATGTTCTTTGCTTCCTTTCTGCCTCTTTCCACTCTGACTGAAAACCCCATGCCAACCCTAAGAAACTTCTTTTAAAAATTCCTGTTAAAAACTGGTGGTTTCCAATTAAGAATTATCTGATTGGAAGATTCCCACTGACTTCACTGGAAACCATAATTCCCTTTCCCCACAACCTCCGTTCCAATCAGCAGCAGTGGTGGCTACTGTGACAGAAACCACAATGGTTGTAATGACACATGTCTGGTTTCAAGGTTTTTTTTAAAGGCTCTCAGAGCATCTTGAATCTTGCTCTGCTTGTATTGAAATGGATTTAAGTGCATCTCTACTACTTTGGTACCTTTTTAAAATAACAGGATGAAAACATGCAGACATGTGGTGGAAAGGTGCTGTTAATTACTGTAAATTTATTTGTTGCCCTGATTTTGTTTCAAACAGGTGATTTGGTTTTTCTGTGTTCATTTTTTTAGCTCTCAGAGAGTTAGATTTGCACCTTGGAGGTATTCCACAGTTTCACAAATGTTATCTGAAGTTTGTTATGCCGTTTTCCTAATTTTATACTGTAATCCCTGGATTAAGTTTTTATTGTTTCCTGCTATTTGAAGACTTTCTTCTCCTCTGCCTGCTGAATGATTTCCTTCTGTGGAAACCCTGGCTCTAGGGCAGGGCACAGAAGCCTCAGTTTTAGGGGGAGAAGCAGAAAATCCTCTGTGTGTGGAGTAGCAAGAGGAAAGCAGGTACCAGAAATTAAAATCTGGCACTGAAATTCGTTCAAAATCCTGCCTTTGGATGGTTCATGAGGAGAAGGCTTGAGGATTTGGGATTGCTATCTCATCTGAAAGTAAAGTTATTAATGGGAGCAATGATGGAGAGTGCATTTTGTCAGGAAGTGGATTTACATTGATGTGGATAATGAGGGGTGTGATCAGTTCCCTTCAGCATCTCCTTGGGTTTTGTCCCTCCTTTAGGTATTGATTTGAATCAACTCTGTGTAACATATGGGAAAATGATGTAGAAATGAGGTTTGTTACAGCTCAAATCCATGAACAAGTTGATATTGCCTGTTTTGGAGGGTTTCCACTTTTCTACTGCAATTTAGCAAGCAGCAGGGGTGATATATCAGGGTGATATATCAGACAAGACTGCAATTTTTGGCTATAATATACCAAATAGCGCAGGCTGTATGCATCAGATAAGAATACAGCTTGTTCTTTTTTCTGTTGATGTTGTACCATCCAATATCTGGTTCATTTTGCCTTAACAAAAGAGTTCAGCTGTGCTGTGAGTTACAAATTTGTCTAAAAACAAATAAATTGACTGGTTTATTTCTGGAGGCAAGATGGGCAAAGGTGTGTGGACAATGCAGCAATTTTCATGTCTAGCCCTTGAGAAAAAAGCACCACAGAAGCCTGAGGTTTAGAGAGCATCATTTTAGTGAAAGACTCAATGATCTCAAAGTGATAAATTAAACCAGGAGAAGGTTAATACCAGTGATGAGTTTAAGAGATTTTTCTGTAGTCCAGGAAATTTTAAATGTATGTCTGTTTAGGAAAAGCAAAATATTTTCAGAAGACAAGTCCTAGGAACTTTAATATGTTTTAGTTTTATTTACATTTTTTAAGTGGCCAAATATGCTTGAGATTAAAAAAAAAATGTAAATAGTTGCTATTCATAAAAAATTCCCCCAGCCATAGAAAGGGGAAAAAAATCCAACCAACACTGTTTTTGAAAGGTCATCTGTCCATTCCATAATCAGGAAGTTCTGTAGTTGCATAATTTGATCTAATAATTAGAAAAAATTCATTGATTTTTCCACAGTAAATGTAATAAGTTTGTTGGGATGAAGCATAAGGTGCCTCCAACAGTTTGTTCTTGGAAAGCCTGCCTGTGAAAATGTCTGTACCCCTGAGCTTTTGTTGTCACGAGTCCTGAACATTACAAGCAGCTTAAATGCAACAGATTTTGTGGAGCAAGTCTTCTTTTTTATCCCCTTCTATTAGATTTGCCTGTTAACCAGCTTTTCTTTAGGGATCCTAGAGGAGAGAGGAGATGGAGACAATGCTGAGAAAACAAGGGGAAGAGGTACCAGTTGCTTCAGGGTACTTCTATCTGAATTTTAGGAGCAATTTCTTCACTTTGGGACCACTTGGACACTGGGATGAGCTGCCTGGAGAAGCTGTGGAATCTTCCTGGCCGTAGATATTCAGGAACTTGGCTTGCCAGGGCCGTGGATAACCTCATACAGGGCCCTGCTTTCAACACAAGGTTGGCCAAGATGCTCTCCAGGGTCCTTTCCAGCTGAAACTTTGTGATTTTGCAAATCTGTGCTGTTGGCCAAAGGTAACCCAGATCTGCAGCAGAGCCCTGGAAAGCTGTGCTGGCACATGTGGAGGCTGTCAGTGGGATGTATTGTTCAGTGAATTCAATTTAGTGATGCATTTAACAAGAGAGATCCCCCTCTATTAAGGATGTTAAATGTCAGGTCCTGGCTTGTTTGTGATTTTCACAGCTGGCCAAAAATGTTGGGATTGGATTCCTGTGCAGTGTTTTGTCAGAAGCTTTCTAGAGCAAGAGTGCCCTGCAGAAGATGGAGTATTTAGACTTTATCAGAATGATAAAAACTCAGAAGGAAATGAAGCCATTTGACGTTGCAGCTATTTAACAGCAGACAATGGCATAAAATGTCAAAGTAGGAAATGGAGTATTCAGATTTTGTCAAACCAGGACAGACTAGCTCTGAGTGGCATCCAGTTACCACAAATAATTTTGCTTTTCAAATGTTTTATTTCCAGTTCAGGCTGAAGATGCGGTTTCCTTGAAGAATACACTTTGAAGGAGCAAAGATTTCCATATTGCTCAGAGTATCAACCAATGTTTTGATGGGTTTTTTCCTGATTCTCCAGCATTTGTCCCTGAACAGAGGGACCAGAGGCTGTGACTGAGGCCA